TGGCGCTGCTTGTGCTTGCACCGGGATTTTCGGTTTTGGAACCAGTAAAAGACGTTGGCATCTCCCACTGGTCCGTACTCCTGCAGTTGAGCCCTAATTTTTCGTATCTCGTCCCTCGGCGGGTTGACCAGGCCCGAGTTGAAGATGGATTCGAGTATCCGGATTTGCTCGGGCCTAGGGTTCCATCTTGGCTTCGGTTCCGGCGCGCGTCCTTCACATCCGGGCCCTATTTAATTATTATTATTAATATTAATATTATTATAATAATAAATATTAAATGGTTAAATATTTGGTGTACCTGAAGGTGAGTATGAGATTAGAGAAGGGTTTAGATATTGATGATGATTAAGAGTTGATGATGAGTTGCAAGGCTTGGACTTGAACATGCTTGGCCAGTGCTTGTTTGATGAGCCCATGATGGAATCAAAAGGCTCTTCAAACACCACACACATACATACCTCCTCTTTATATAGCATACGTACCCTTGCACCACGTCACCATCTCATGTAAAACTATTTTATTTTATATAAGAGAAATGCTATGGTCCCGTCATCCTGTCGGGTGTTTTAACTGTTGGATCGTCTATCTTATCTAACTATATGTAGATTCAACGGTTAAAACACCCGATAGAATGGTACTGTAACGAGACCGTAGCATTTCAGCCTTTATATAAAATGATTAATTAAGTAAACACTAGCCCTAACTGAATTGGTTAAGGCTCGAGATTGGCTCGGTTCGCTCAAAACTCGTTTAATCAATTAACCGAAGCGATCGAGCTCGACTGTTAAAGCTTTGTTAAGTTTTGCAAAGTATTAATTTTATAATTTCAATCGTTAATACTTGAGTTCGTCTCATTAATTAAGACTCGAATTGGCTCGTTATTATTGATAAAGAGAGACAAGTTCGAACTCATTTATTAACTTATTTTGTTAACTCGACTCGTTCCACACATTTAGCCACAAATGAAGTAATGATGAGATTACAAGAAGTCACTATAATGTTCTTGTAATATAGAAATTCGATTACAAGAAGTCAATAATTAAATAATAATAATAATAATAATTATGATGATGAGATTACATGAATTCGTAATAACGTTATTGTATAATTTTATATTATAAACTATAAAATACTACACTTTTGTTCATATTATTTAAAAATATAAAATTATTTGTCGCCGTAAAACATTGCTTCCAGAAAGACATTAATATAAAGTCTTAATTTCCCACTTATTTTTCAAACCCCTTCATAACTACTCCTTAATTATTCCTTTGAATGTATTAATTGGAGTTTTTGACTAAGGGGTGCGCATTGATAGAGGCAACATCGTTTTTCAGAAAAAAAAAGTTGGAAGGGCGTTTGTACTTTGATTTATGTTATATGATTCATTAGCCAATAATATAATTAATTAGCTGATTTGATTTTCACAATCTTTATAAACTTTAATTAGCTAAATTCATATTTAAATTTAGGAGTTTTTTCAATACAAGACCGGAAAATATGACAATCTATCAAATCGGGACCTGAATTTTATTTTTTTTTTTCTCAATTCGGGACTTAAATGTTATATAACTATCAAATTAAGTCCTATAATTCACAAAACTCATGACACCATTAAATTGAGAGTTTTAAAAACAAAAAAGACAAGTTTGGTGCTTACTCACATAAAATAATAAGTAAACATTTGTATAATATTTTTTTTTTTTTAAAAAAAGAAATATACAATAACAAGAAAACTGAGCAAAAGTTTCATACTATCTTAATTTTCTCCAACAATCTCGTATTTTCTTTAATTTTCTTCATTTTTTTTTTTTACTTTGTAACAGATTTAGTGTTTTAAAACTTCAAATTAACTCTTAATTTAGTGGTGTTATGGGTTTTGTTAATTTTATGACTTAATTTGATAGTTTTATAACATTTAGGTCTTCAACTGAGGTAAAAAAATATTTTAGGCCCCGATTTGATAGCTTACCTATCTTTCAGGTAAAAACTCCTTAAATGTAACTCACTTTTAACTCAAATCTCACTATCATTAATATCATTAATATAATTAAATAACTCCACTAAATCATTTTTACTCATCACATCAACTTTAATTCACTATTCATCAAATCACAAAATTTTAATTACATGTTATTTTAACCGTTTATCTTCTATTATTACGTCAAATTAATTTTAATTATTTTATTTTAAATATTATTTTAACATCTCGGCAAAAATTAATTAAACCAGTAAATAAATAGTTTATTTATATCCAAAGAAATTGGATATAGATTTTATTATTTAATTTCCACTTGGTTTTGGTTCCTGGCGGGTCAAAAAAAGGTAAATTGAATCCGGGTCGGTGGAGTCTGCAAATGGACAATGAAGTGTCATAAGAAAAGGTGCAAAACGCACAATCCCATCACAAACACAAGTCTATCATACTGATGATGAGTAGACCCATGATGAGATGAATGCTGGATTTGGAACTACCTAAAGTACTGTCTTATCCCTCTACTTTTACTTCACTTTCATTCTCTTTGCTTAATTTGTTTTGAAATTTTTTCTCTTAACTAATAACCAAATAATATTTATTGTATAAAGAAATGACTTTTGATTTAATCAGTTTCTAGAGTTGATAGAAAGTAGAATAATGTTCCCTACCCACGGTGAACACATGTTCATATGTTCACCACTTATGTGGCATGCACACATTGGTAATGTTAATATGTTCAAAAAAATACATCACCAATGTGAGCATGCCACATAAACGGTGAGCATATTAACATGTGCCCACCGTGGATAGGTGAGCATTACTGCTAGAAAGTATGTGCAAAACGCAACCTGCAATTCATTTATGGCGGAGCTCGTAAAAAAAAATAATAATAATAAATTAATGATTCTTGAAAATATAAATAAAATTATGTCAATTTTTTTTATAATTGGGAGTAAGGAGTTGGCCCCATACAAGAGCAACGCACAGCGTGAGTCTAGGTGTATTATAGAGAAGTCTCATACTAAAACTAATTGGTGATGAGGAAAATTAGTCCACTAGGCTTTATAAACTAGACTCATTTACCTTATCAAATTGATGTGGGACGACTCACAAGCATAGTTTTGAGACCCGGACCAGCNTGATCTAATGGCTATAATTTATTCTCATTTCTTTCATCAAGCACCATTCTCATGTGAACCCAACCCTATATATATATATATATATATTTTAAATATTTTTTGTTTTTAAAAATAAAATTAGTATATATATTTATATGGTAAATATATATTTATCCAGAAATATATATTATTAATACTTTAGTGTACAAATTTTATATAAAAAAATTTGATTTTGTTATTTATATTTATATTTATATTACAAAATACTCTATATATAATTTTAAAACTTTTAAAATTTGTTATCCGGTTCAACAATTGACCCGATAACCCAATAACCCGAAGACGCGTTGAAAAACTATGCTCACAAGTGATGGCAATCTACTACTATCAACGCCCTGTAGACCTTTCGGTGCAAGAATTAATTAAAATCTATGGCTTATTTGACATATTTTAAATCACATAATTAAACAACTGAGATGATATTAGAGTGAAAAAAATATATATCTTTATAAAAAAAAAGAAAGAAAGATAAATTTAAAATTGAACAAGTGAGATTATAAAATTAAAAAAAATATATATCTTTAGAAAAAGTGTGATAAATTAAGACGGAGAATAAAGACGAGATAAAAATATAATAAGTGAAATTGATACGATATAAAAATAATAAAATATTAATTGATAACACTAGTTGTTAGAAGTATATGAACAAATTAATAGTTTTTTATTCAAAATATTAATAGCACTAGTTTTACTTCGCCACCGTGGCACAACTGGTGACCCGAGGGCGGCCATCGGGCTATGTTGGCAGGCCAAATTGGTTGGCCGACATTCAACTGGTCAAAGCTGTTATAACTTGTCGATATCGGTCGTCCATGTCCAGTTGCACTGTTGTTGTCTGGCCTCAGGTGGTGACCGATGATTGAGGAGAAGCGGTGACGCCTGCAAGTCCGGCCACTACTCCGACGACGAATATGGTGGTTGAGTCCATATTGCACCTCGCTGAAATTCTAAATCATCTATTAGTAGAATTAAAAATTAATAAAACTATATAAAATCAATTCAGAAAGTCATATATAAATTCATTACATATTGATAAAATAAATTATTGAAATATAAGTTGGGCAAATCGATTAAGTGAAAAATCTCATTTTAAATATAAATAGTAAAGTAACTTTTTAATAAGTATTTGAAATTCAAAGATAAAAAAACATTTTCTTACATTTTATTTTAAAATTTCAGTATAATTTTTTTTTTGTATTATCCTAATAGTCTATTACAAACTAATATTTACTTATCTAAATCAAAAGTATAAAATCCGTTGTAGTCTAGTTGGTTAGGATACTCGGCTCTCACCCGAGAGACCCGGGTTCAAGTCCCGGCAACGGAATTTTTTTTTTTCTTTTTCATGAATCTAATTTTCTGCAGGAGGTGATAAATAAAATAAAAGTAAGAAGGGTCTGCTCACAGTTGGCGGGAATAGCGATTTGTGTGTTTCCGTGAAAAAAGAAATCACTATTTTTTGAACACTGCACTCCTCCTCACTAGGGTTTCGATTTGGGGGAGAACAGAAAAGGCATCAACATTCTCGCGCTCGATCAGAGGGCTGAGAGACTGAGAGATAATATCGAGATATGGACAAGCGGCGGAGGATTGAGGGAAAAGGCGGCGGCCGTGGAGTGGAGGAGAACACAATGGCACTTCTCGACACCTCGGGCTTCAGCAGCTCGAAAATCGCCCACCACCTGGACGACGATCGTGCGTATCCCTGCTTATCTTCGTCTATTTCACATTTTTCGAACTTTCAATTTAGGTTTTTTCCCCCATTTTTTGCAGGGCTTGCTTTTCTGGAAGCTGTTCGTACGGCTTCTCTTCTTCCTGATAACGGAAGCGCACCTACCCCGTAAGCAATTCCCGCTGATTTGTTTGCCACTAAATGCTAAATTAGGAGTTTGGACACGGGATAGAAATATGTGTGTAGTATGATTTAAGGTCAGGAAGCCTCTCTGTAATGAAACGGTCCATGCTCTGAACCGGAAGCGAATTGAAGACTAGGTATATATTTTTGAAGTTGTATAATCTAATTGAAGTTCGATTTTTTAGCCTTCCTCCGTTTGCTGGAAACTGAACACCTATTAAAATTTTCCAGCTATGTGATTGAAGTAGTTTCCTGGTATATGGTGGTATGTAATGCTATCTAGCGAGTGAGCTAGCAGCAAACTGAACAGAACAACATTGCTGATGATTTTTGAGTCGTTTGATAGGACTTTAACATTATTGCATGCATATATTTTTTCTATTGGGCTTTGTAGTTTTCGTTTTGCTTGTAAAAGAGCTTCTTTTTAACAGGAAAATGTGTGAGGCCATCTTCCGTATTCTGAAGGACGTGGACTCTCTTGATTTAATAATTGAAAGTTACCAGCTTCTTGTTGAATTGGATAAGGTACCTGCTCAATCCACTATTCATATTCAGTGTCCATTGATTTTCACATTTCACTTCTAGGGGCTAACCTATTTAATGTGTGCATCTGATTTGATTGATGCTTTCTTTGATCTGCAGCGGTTTCCTCGAGTATATCTATCCAAGGATCAAAATTCATCGTCACCTTTAAAAATCACCTCCCAAGTAATTCTAGTTGAAGAGGTGACCTTGTCTTCTCCTATTTAAAATCACACATCTATATAAGGTTTACGTTGGAACTATACTTTATACTTTTAAATTATATGTGCTGCTCATGCCAGGCTTGGCTACCTTTTAACCTCGGGCTGGACAGTTACAGGGAGAAGGGAACAGGAAAAAATCATTTAGTTGATGCCGCGGTCAGTTAACTGGTCATTTTGTTTTCCGTTGCCTCTGGAATTTTAGTTGCTGCTTCTTTCTGTTTCCAGTATATGATTAATTTAGGAAAAACACTTATTTCATGATTAGCTTCGTTGTTATCTGCTGTGAAGACGACACTGCACGTGTGACATTATTATTATTATTATTATTATTATTATTATTATTATTATTATTATTATTATTATTATTATTATGTTGCTGAAACTTTAGGTCAATTTCAGGGTTTCCATGCAATTATACAAGAAATTGCTGAAATGGCTAAGGAATTGAAATCTGAAGCAAAAGGAACAACTGTGAGTTACTTTCATGCTTCATTCCATTTAAGATTTTTATGAGTAAACCATCAGGGGATCAATGCAAAGCCCTCCATGTGTTTCATCCAAAATTATCTTATTCGTTTTCTTAGTATTGAAAATAGGAAATGGACAGTATATTAGCATCACCTCTTAACATTTTAGTCTGGAGATGTTTTTCAGTTCCTGAAGAACATGTTGCTGCTTCAATATCTTATCACTGTTCTTGAACGAGATTTCTTACCTCGCATTCACAATTATCATGGTAAAGTTGTTACTGTTATTTTTTTATGGGTTCCTTTTACAAGCCATTGCTGATGCTCATTTTGTTGCAGAAAGTATGAATTGGAATGTTCTCAGAGAATCACTGCTTAGCCTGCTTCTGGTGCGCATTCCTGAATTTCTTCTGATTTTAGTTTAAGAAATTCAATGTCGTGAGGTCATTGAATTGGTAATTATTTTGATAGTTTATTACACCTGTTTGACTTTTGCTTAGGATTTGTTTTAGGGATCAAGAAAAGTTATGTACAAGGGGTTAACAAAGGACTGTTTGTTGATCATGTGCAACATGTTTCAATCACCTGAGTTTTCTGAAGAAACTAGCGCCCATGAAAGTTCTACGGGAGAGCTACTGCATGAAACTAACCGTGCTGTAGCATTAGCTTTACCTGATGCAAAAAAATCTACTTGTACTGTCCTGAAGAAACTGTTCGTGATGGTAAGTTCTTTATCCATATTTTTTCCTTATGACCATGAGCTAGACATGATCTGTCCTTGATATGGCCTCATGTATCCTATAGATCATGGAGTTAGATTCATCACGAAAGATTGCTGATCAGCAAGGGCTTACTAGTAGGGCTGATGGCGTAAGGTACTTATTTTGTTTGTTTCTGGCAAAAAGGTCATTTATTTGCTTGTAGTTTCAAAGTATAACTTGAACTTGTTTTTTTATAGGACCCCTATTGCGGAAATCATTTTGGATGAACTCATTTACGACAATGACATCCTTTATTCATTTCTTCAGGTGCATTCTCTCACACATATGCATGGCATACTTTATTCATTTCTTCAGGTGCATTCTCTCACACATATGCATGGCATACGATGGATACATGTACGCATGTAGTTCAATTATTTCAAAGAAAATTATATTTATTGGTGTATCTAAACTATGCATATGTATGTAATCCCAAGGAGATTCTCATAACTAACATTGGCTAAAGTCTAAAACAGAAATTTTAGTAACAGACTCTGTGGCATGCGGTTGCAGGGAGACAAGCATGGCATTCTCCCATCATTTGGATCCTTATTTTAACCCTTTCTTGTTTTCATCTTACTTCTAATCCAACTCTTTCCAGAATTACATTCTTGGTTTCTCTGATTGTGTTCATTATATCGAATAACTTCAAATAAATATGATACCGGGTGTCTGAATTTATAAGATTTTACTTCCAATTATTTTCTGTTGCAGGTCTTTGATCCGAAATGGAAGCTTGATATTATTGTACAATATTTCCAGAAGTATATTCCAAAGGCATGTTGCCTCCTTTCACTTTGTTTAAGGATCTATGTTGGAGCAGTTCCTCACAATGTTATCTCTTGTTTTTGCTCTCAGGAAATTTCTCCCATCATCTGTCTACTGTTTATCTTCCGTTTTTAGTGTGTTCATAGTAATTTCTGAATGTATACTACTAATGTATTTCAGACATCGGTTGAAATTGTTTGCCCAAATTTAATCTCATTAGAATTGACCGTCCTTTTCATGACTAGTCAACGAACTATGCTAATGCAAGGTAAGGATACCATGAGAAAGTCAATTTGTTTTCTCAATGTAGCTAAAAGTCCCTTTGAAGTAAATTGCCATGAAGATTGGATCAGATTTCAGTGTTACCAAGTAGCATTTTAGTTTCTTTGTTAATTGACTATGTTTTTGTTTCTTTCATTTTCTTCTGGAAATGGTAAACGTTGGGATTGTCTGCATGTGTCTATATGATGAATGATGTTTCTGCATGTGTCTATATGATGAATGATGTTTGCTATGTGTACTCAATTCAGTTTTGAGTTCACCTTGTATTTAGAAGGGGATTCAAGAGCTATATCATATTTAATAGCTAAACATTAGTATCGCTTAATAAAGCTTGATGATTTTGAGAGTTGTATGTTGCAGTCTTCTGTTCAAACGAGGAGATCAAGTGATAAGATCAATATCGACAATTTTGATGGAATTTTGAAGTGCCTGTCTAACAGCAACAGAACCAGAAGTATAATTAAAAAGATGAGCTCGGAGGTCGTTCAGTTGCTTCTGGCCTATGCTTTCCAGGTGAATGCAATTCTCTTCACCAATATTTATTCTAGATATCTCATATGCAAAATCTAAATTAATATATTGGCTATTACTTCTGTGTGATCCATGAGTTAGTTGCACATCTCATTTGAGTTTCTTATACAAAATAGAGAATCCTTCAGTTTCATAAAGGAAAAAAAAACGACACACCACATACCCCTTCTGACATCAATATTTTTGTAGGCATATGTGGAGTTATCATATCATGCCTCTGAAGGCTTGTCTAATATGGCGGAGCATGACAAAAGCAATTCAGTTGTGGAAGTTTGCAAAAACATAGTATCTGCTTTTACCTGTCTCAAACAAGAAGATCCGTAAGATTCACTTGTCTATGCAACGTGCTCTCTATTCATGTGAATTTCCTACCTTTTTGGTGCGAGTTATGAAGATAATACCATGGCTTATGTATTAAGAAAGTCATTACGTCGTTAAGCATTATAAAATTTGAGGGAACATTAGGAATCTAGCAAACCTTACTCGACCCACAAATTGTTGACTGCAAAGTACAAAGAATCAGTTTCACAGGTGTATTAGTAACTTGTGACGAATAGAAGTGATTCAGTTTATTGAGTTTTCATCTTGATCATGTCGATCTTACAGCTATGTTTCGGTATTCCCATATCTATTCGTGGTGCAGGCACACAGAGACTTTAAGCTTCGGGAAGAAAGCACTTATTACAGCTGCAACTATTCTCTCTTCAAAATCATAGAAATATTATTGTTACTAATTATTTTAAGAATTTGCGAGTTATTCGTGTTGTAAAATTTTTAGAACAGGAGTCAGACTCAACGTGAACGTCATGATTTTTTCTGTCGTCCAGAGTTGCTTTTTGTATTTCTGTAAGGGTGAGTTGCTCTGCCAAATAAATTTGTGAGAATTTATTTTTTGTATTCCACGTATGTCTACAAAAGATTCATTTGCATCACAAAAAGAATCAAGCTAATAGATACTGATCAAAATCAAACAAAAACAGAACACAAGAATTAAGAATAAATTGAAATTCATGAGAAGGAAGAAAAGGAACAGTTAAAAACAGGGGAAATGCTAAGGTCCCATTACGGGACTATTCCGTTGGGGTTTGTAACATCATCATGTAACCGTCAAAGATAGTTGATCTAACGTGTACAAATCCCGACGAGATGGTTCTGTAATGGGGTCGTAGCATCTTCGTAGCATCTTCCTAAAAACAGTCATCCCATGTGCAACGTGCAGTCTTTTCTCTTCTCTCCATGCCTTCTTCCTCTCTTCACACCAATGCCTCCCATTTTATCCATAGCCACAGCAAACTCTTGAAAAAATCTCTGCTTATCCTTAGCCATTGCCTGGACCAAACCTTTTGTCCTAAGGTCCACAAAGAGGGCCTGATCAGACCCAAGCAGCCCCATCATAGCCTCCAAATTCCCATAATAAGCATTGTCGAACGAGAAGGGAGTCGTGACATCTAATGGGGCCACGATATCCGTATTCCCTCCAAAATGCGGGCACGACATTTTAAGGGCTTTAAGGAGCCTCGGGTCGATCCATGGATCGGGCTGCTTGGTGCCCTTGTAGTCGTACAGCCGGCCCACAAAGTGCCTGCAGTTGGCGAACCCGATGGTGTGGGCCCCGGAGAGGATGACCAAGTCCTCGAGCGTTAGGCCCTTTGACCCGAAGAGCTTTAACAGCTCGTCGACTGTCGAGTTTGCTCGTGGGAGGTTGGGTTGTACTCTTGAGGCCAACGAGATTTTGCCATCCCAACGGCCTTTTTTCACCGGGTAGTACGGCCCCCCTGTCTATCTTATCGAAATTACGAAAATGCACTTGAAAATAAATGAGGGGATTCTTGATTGGACTAAACTTAGGGGTGCCCTTTTGGAATTAATCATTTGTTTGACTGCATGGCTGACAATGTGTGTGAGTGTGTGTGTGTGTGTGTGTGTGTGTGTTTGGTTCCACTTTTGTACATGGATAATGAATGGACAAAGTTTGTTATGACTAACATTGTTTGTCAGATATAACAAGAAATTGTTTTTATCCAATATTATGTGCAGTTCAAGGCCCTTTGTCTGTTCCAGTAATGGCCAAAACTGAACAGCTGTTTTACCATTTCAATAAAAAAATCCACAACGTTGCGCCAAAATTTGGACAGTACTCTGCTCTTTATGCAAAAAAAGTCAGAGGAATATCATGAAATATGGAGAAATGCTAAGGTCCCGTTACGGAATCATTCCCTCGGGGTTTGTAACTGTTAGATCATCATGTAATCGTCAGAGAGACAGTTGATCTAACGGTTATAAATCTCGACTGTATGGTTCTGTAACGGGACGGTAACATCTTCCATTATTTGCGATTTAATTCGGACAAAGTCTATTCATTTAAATCGGAGCACCCTGCATGAACATGAAGTTGCTCAATTTCATCACTAGCATTGATTTTTCTGAATTTTATTTCCCATTCAAAAACTATGTGGTCCACTTGACAAAATTGTGATCAAAATGCAAGTGTACAAGTCACTATCCCAAATTCTCTGAGCATGTGAACACCATATTTTTCCCATTACTAACTTTTCTATGGACCAGAAAATAGTGAAGAAGACCAAACAAAGAACAGAAAAAGAATATTGGTTAACTAACCAGATGAACAAAGTCTCTAGCTGCAATGGCTAAGATGTCTGCACAGGACACGATCCCCGGGCACTTGCTCTCGACAAGTGCCTTTGCCTTGTTTATGCTCTCGAAAGCTTCGATAGGTATCTCCTTATTATCCTCTGCATCTTTTTCTGCTAAATCTTTACTTCCGGGTTTCGTTGAAACCAATACCGACCCATCGCAGCCCTTTTACACGAAAAAAGTGTCAATCAAATGTAAAGAATAAAAGATATCACTCAAGAAAAAAACATGTCTTAATTAAGTTTTCGCGGTTTTTACGAAAAACATTGGAAAAAAAATTGCATACTTCGACAAAACAGTCGTGAAAGAAGAGACGAATGGTGGCTGGTGCGGAAATTGGTGCTTCCTTGAACTGCTGTGACGTGACAGAGGCCACGAGCTGATCGAGCTGTGGGCATGTTTTCGCGTAAAAATCGACCGAAAGTTGGTACTTAGGCGTACGGGTAACGGGTTGTGCAAGTGCATTGGCAAAAAGAAGAAGATAGATTATTAAGGTGAAAAGGAGTGTAGGAAATGATGTGGTGAAGAAAGACATGACAAATAATAATAAGGAAAAAAGAGTTTGGTTTGGCTGTGGACTTTGAGAGGAGCTTTAGGACAAATTTAGCAAACAGTGATTGAGTGAATGTTAAAAAGATGATGTTTTATATTGTACCACGTCGGGTGAGTCATGATATCTTAGGAGCGGCTCGCCCACGTCGGGTGATGCTCTAGTGT